TCTCTCTCTCTCTCTCTCTCTCTGTTTCGTGCGCGAGTACCCCGCGGAAGAAACGGGATGTCGTGCGTGCGATATTTCGGGCGTTGGACAAGCAGCACACGGCAGCTGCGGTAATTACGTCGTTTAGGTTAGGATCCCGGTACGATGTCGCGACGTCCAGCTAACGGGTCTCGGCACCGCGGCCGGCAGCTATAGGCAGCTTAGATTTAACCTTGAACGGATCTTTTACGCTGCTCTTTCTCGTTTTGCCGCTTTGAGGTGCTCCGATCGATAGCAACAGTGAGCCGTAGGAAAGACGAGCGTTCGTAGTGGATTGTACATACTATACTAAAAACTGTGGTTATGGAAACTGTGGAATCACTGAAACGAGGATAAAAAGAGGATTCCATTTTTTTTTTGTGCGCTTGAGATCGATACTTTAATTTAGCTGTGGATTTTATTGTTTTATAGAGAATAAAACCATTTTATGTGATGAATTTTAGTGATTTGCTTGGACATTGAACTGTTGTTGTTGTTGGTTTTGCGTAATCGTCAATATACAAAGTGCTCGAGTGAATGAAATTTTAATGACAGATTCATTGATAAGTTTTAAGTGAATTGATTCTTAGGAAAGATTTTTTAAATAAAACACAGAGCAAAGAATTCATGAATTATGCCTCGGAATTGGAAATAAATGACAAGATTTTATTTTATTTTTTTAATGATTTGAGTGAATTTTACTTTAACGGAAATTCTGTTTAATTGACTTTAATTACTAGGCTATATAATGTTGTGACTTGACAAGTTATATTGATAACTGTGAAAAGATCCGTTCATCATATTTTCTACAACAATTTTTACCGATAAAATGTCTTAAAAAAATGTTTATTAAATTATTATATCAAAATTTAATGCATACATTATAAACCGAATAGTTTTGTAGCAAATATTGCAAAGTTGTAATAAAGTGTATTTTGTGTTTTACAGATCTCCACTGGCATGGAGCTAGGAGCGCACTGATAGCGTTAGTTTACGAGGTATATAATTTGTATTTATACTTTCTATAACTGTTTTTATTTTTTATAATTTCTTTCTTGTAGCAACAACTAAGATTGCTAGAAATATATTTAAAAATTATTTGATTTCTTGTGCATTTTATATATGTGTTCTCAATTAATGATTTATTTATATACAATTATTGTTTTAAGACATTTTCTACTTAATTTTATATTGACATTTATAATTTTTAATATTTCTTTATTATTATCAGCAACTGTGCAATTTTGTAGTTAGCGTTATCTAATTATTCAAGCTCTTAAAGAAATTTCTATACTATTCGTAAAAAGAGTGAATCTATTTTGATATAATGTGCAAGTTTATTAATGTAAATGTTTTAAATTACACTAATAAATTTGTGCTTTATGTACAGATCTTGGTTTCTATGCATTGCCTGCCAAAGAAGAACTGAGCCCAATGTTTCCACACAATTCTAGTTCACATGAGATTTCTACAGAAACAAATGCCTTCGTACAAAATTCCATGGTAAGTATTTACATATAAATTGCAAGATTTAGGCGAATAGCTTTTTATATATATTATACCATTTATAAACTTAAAATGAATTGTTCGTATTATGTAAATGTCAAAATCTTGGTAAATGTAAATTATTGTATGTAAAACAATTACATGTTATCTTAACATGTAAAGTTAGTTTAGAACATTTAGAAATAAATCTAATGAAGAATAGTATTTTGATTCCACTTAATGAGAGGATTTTAAAACTTTGTAGACATATGACGCATAAAATCCTATTTATAGAAGTTACATATGTCATAAGTCTGAGTTTAATTGCATCATTTATTAGGAGACTCTAATTATCTGCATTTACATATCTGTATTTACACATATGCATTTGCAGATATATCAAATTACTTTTTTTTATATAACTTATTTATCGGTGTTGTACATCTATGATTATCGCAACTATTAAGCTGTAATTTATCTTATCTTTATACGCAATATTGTTTTAATTTCACATTATTGTATTATAGCTTACATGTGTTTATTATTTATTGATATCACACTGATTATTTAAAGACAAATGTTCCTAAACAAACATAAACATGTTAATGTTTTACGTGTTATAGGGGGATGTAGTAGTATTAGAGGAAAGCAGTCTGGATGGGGTGGGGGAAGGGGAAGGATCAGAGCACATTAGGTACTGTGATATCGAATCGATAGCAAACAGCAGCATGATGGCAGCACCTATTAGCCATCCCGAAGCTACCGCCGCCAATGACTTTTCAACCGTCCTGCTGAACCAAGCTGGTGAGTAAATTAAATATTTCGATTATATTTATAGAAAAATTCCTGTTTTATATTCTTTCAATTTGTCCATCCAATGCGTATTTAATATTTTAATATTAATATACAAAAACAAGTACATTTTTTAGATGTTATTATTTTGAAAGCTATTGTAAAGCTGAATAAAATTATAAGCTCAGCTGATAAATATTTATAAAGAAAATCTATATTAAAAGCATAGTGGAATAGTTGAATAATTTAATTTTTTTTATATAAATATCGTAGATATTCATGCTTTATAAAATATTTTGCTGAACATTTTGTAAATATTAGATTGTATAATTTTTAGATATTCTAATATCAGGAAGAAGCGTTAAAGAGCCAACGCAGGATGATTTTTGCTTAAGTAATTATGTATGTTAAGATTATAATTACTTAAGCAAAAATCATCCTGCGTTGGCTCTTTAACGCTTTTTCTTGATATTAGAATTGTTATTCTTAAGAGCCTAGTCTATACATTTTTAAGTTTTAGATATTCTTTTATATTAATAATTCTTGAATTTGAAAACATATTTTTAATAATATCCAAGAGAGATTTTAATATGTTAAAAGTGAATGAGTGCTTATATATCTAATATAGACATTGGAAATTCTAACGACAAATTATTTTGAAGCGCAACTATTTGAATTATAGGTGAGTTCAACTCAACCGGCATAGGTAAGGCCTGCCAGTCAGTGGCGCCAGCAACCACAAAATACCCAACAAATCACCCTCAAATCTGCGATAATAATAATAAAATAAATAATCACAACAATGCAGAACATAATCATCACAAGTACAGAAAGCAAAACACACCGGGCTTGCTTGGTCTGCAGCTGGGCAGCTCCGCCAATAACTCTAAGTCTACTTGTAAGACATTAAGTGATAATAAGACTAGCTTTAGTACTGTATACATTAGGATACACATAAGGGTAAGTGTAAATTTTGAAAGGGACGAAGTGTGTTACACCGTTGGGGTACCTAGCCTAGTTAGGATACCCAAGTCTGATAGTCCCCAACGGCTGTTACGCCTCCCTAACTCTGATGACAATTACTCCTTACTAGGGTCCTGCCTTGACCTAGGCGACAACAATAAATTTAAGGCTAATTTTAGTTATGTAAGTAATAACAACTCCAAGTCTGTGATATTGCTCAGCTCAACCAGTTACAGTAACCATTACCTCCTCTTTAGTGGTGGCTTTGACAAGATAGCTGCTGTTATCCCGGTACTTTGTATTAAAAGGGACGATTCTACCACCACATCGAATAGATTGAAACTACTAGGTGATAAGTACGCCCTAGTTACCAGTTTTGCTCAGATCTCTAGACTGCTTGCAAACGATAGAATTCTGGATGATTCTAACTCTGGCATCCGTGTTTCGCTGAGCCGCCGATTAGCACGACACCTCTTGGAATCGCATTTGAATGTCAACACTCTAGTACCGGTGTCTGTTCACGCTCAGAATTTCGCGATGTACGCCGCAAGTTCTTCCATTACGCTTATCGTTTCCAGAAACGAAGTAATTGACCACACTTTGCGATCTTTCCTGAAAAATCTCACACAAGTATATGTACAATCTTCTATTTCTCCATTATGTAATGTCACTGTGACCGAGCTGATGCAACACATATGTGTTCCACTATTAATAATATGTAAAAGTAATGATTACAACGTTGGTAATAATTATAATGAATATTATAATAACGAGTACAGTAACGTTGCTAGTATTGAAGAAGAAATTAATATTAGTAATAATAATCCAGATGTTATCGGAGACATTGTTGACATCGCTGTGTGCTACAAGACTAGTGTAATGACTACTAATGTTAGGATCTTAGGGTCTCAAAATGATGGTATTAGTTGTACCGAAGCAACAATATATACTGTTGGTGCTCTTTTATTTCAGGATAACAATAAGCCTCTAAACACTTGTTTTAAGATTAGTAGACATAGGGGATTGGTTACTACCGATCGCGAATCTAACTCTACCATTAAGTCTGTATTTAGGTCTAAGTTAAGCGATAAGTGTAGTAACGTTAACGTAGTTAAGTTTGAAACATCTCATGCCGCTCGACTTGACGAATCTGACAACAGTAAGCAAGTTAAGTTGACTGTCAACATTCCTATAATGACTACCTGCAAGCCTACGATGACGCTTACATGCCAATCAGCCACCGTCGCATCCCAAACAATTGTTGTACCTGTATCTCGGGCGGAGAGTCGCACGAACGACAATGAAATGCGATTGGAATATTTCAATATACTCCAAAATGACCAAATATGTATCCCGTATATGTTGCTAAGTCATACAGATGATCTTAATAAGAATGACTTGTGTCGTTATGACGCAACTAAATTTAAAGACGCGCAAATTTATGCTATTGACAAGCTCAAGGCTACTACAACATCGAAAGATGACGCTCAGTTGATCTGCAAATATCACCGAGATACTCTTAAATACGACCAAAGTCGTAAGAACGATGACGATAATGCCATCATATGCAACGGCAACGAAGATTTCTCTCTATCGACTACATGGCACCTCCTAAAGCATTATGTGCGTGAATTAGTTCCTGCTTGTCGAAGAATGTACCAGACGAACAGGAATGAATACGAAGTTTATCGGCGTCGACTACGATCTGTCTTGAACGTCCTATTTCGCAAATACGTCTCGGAGTTGTATGAAAACTACAACGAGCCTATTGCAAGTTACAAGCAACGTTGGGGTATACCAATGGGACTGCGGTTGGTAGGAGGTGGAGAGAGTTCCTTGAACAGCGGGGGAGCTGCCAATTGGGGAACAACACAAGCCACTGCGCCGAACAATAACAATACCAATCAGAGTGGATGGGGCGGTACACCCGGAAACCCACCCGGTAGTGCTAATGCGCCGAATAATTGGGGCGGAAACACTGTCAATCGATCTGTCACTGGTAATCCAAATCAAAATCAAAATCAAGGACCGCCTGGAAACCAAAATAATCCGGGTAAGAACATACATAGTTAAAAGAAGTTTTTTTTAAATTAATATATATCCAAAGTATTCACATAAGTACACATTTTTTATATTAATATATATCCAAAGTATTCACATAAGTACACATTTTTTATATTTAAATCAAATTATTTCAAGACCTTTTAAGACATTAATATGTTATACAATATTATTAAAATATACACAGATGTTAAAAATACATGGATATTTTGGACATATTGTTAAATGTTGCTGAATATGATTTTTAGATTTTATTCGTATCTATAATTTATAATGACAATTGTATTTCTTTTTTTTTTGTTATTTATTAGGTAATGTGAGTAAAGTTAATAATCCCAATCAACAATCGAATCAACAATCTGGTCCGCCAACATCTCAATCAAATAACCCTACCCAAGGGAATCAGAATAATAACCAATGGTCTCAGGGAAAATCTAATAACCCAAGTAATCTTGGGCAAAATCCATCAGTGCAAAATAACAACAGTAGTGGCGTTCAGCAGCAGCAATCTTCAGGTTCAAGTGCGAACAATAATCAGTCCAATAATCCTACCCAAGGAGCTGTAAGCATTGGCAACACATCAACGACTAATAATCCGTCTACGAAGCAGCAACTCGAACAACTCAATACGATGAGAGAAGCGCTTTTCAGTCACGACGGTTGGGGCTGTGTAAGTATAAAATACAACATGTATGATTATATTACATTTTTAAAGTATTAAAGTAAGGTAACGTCGATATCGAGATTTATCTTTATTATTTGATTTAAAGATGTCAGTAAATTTTTTATGTGAAAGAATAGTAGTATGCAGCGGTAATAGCTTTGTAATTGTTAAAAGATTGGTTCATTTTATTTTTCAATTTATTTTATATTATATAATATTTCGTGTATACTGAATATGAATGATTGTGCAGCAAAACGTGAATCAAGATACAAATTGGGACGTCCCGACATCTCCCGAGCCAAGCTTAACTAAGGACGGTGTACCGATGTGGAAACCACCGGTGAACAACGGCACCGACTTGTGGGAGGCGAATCTGCGTAACGGTGGACAGCCGCCGCCTCAACAGCAAACGAAAACACCGTGGGGCCACACTCCTGCGACTAATATCGGCGGCACTTGGGGCGAGGACGACGAAACGGCGGATTCGTCCAACATGTGGACCGGTGCACCAACGCAATCCCAACCGAGCGCAGCTCAGTGGACCGGTGCTGCCGGTAATCAAGCCGGTAGGTGGGGAGGTAGGCTGGTGAAGGCTGGAGATGCCAGATCTATATAGGCAAAAAATGTTTCTTCAAAATTTCTTGATTTCAACTGAGAAATATCCTTGATTTTTCTAACGTTATATTAGCTGTTAATGTAATGCGCCTGTTAGCGCACTGCTAATGTATCCCTTAAGTGACTATGTTCAGAAACCCGAGTCTCGTTCAGTTGCTGCAACACATTTTATAGTAGAGCTGTAGATAACGTAGAAGAGAGTACTATTGTATACTACAAACATGTTATGTCATTCTCATTCTTATTTTTTTTATTTTTTTATTTTGAGCACAAAGAGATTACATACCGAAGTCTGTTAATATTCTTACATCTGCATTGAAAAATTACAAAGTTGAAATAGAAACTTCAAAGAGTTCTCTCTGAAAGTAACACTTTTACTTAGTGTATATTAAAGTACAATATATACTGTAAAACATAATATAAGAAAAATATTATTTGATATTGTGATATATACTTTAGAAGAAATTTGTAACGGTAAAACAATTTATACTTCGTTACTGCAGCTTTTGCATACTATCATTTTGATCGATATTGGGGCAACCTGAACAAAGTTTCATAGTCTTAGATTTTTTTTTAAACAAACAATTGGTCACAAGTGTACGTTAGAACTTACACTTGTATTTGCGCAGTTGAACGTAATACAAGATGATAAATTAATTACATTATTACGCTTTCGACACATTCAGCTGCGATTTATGTTTAGTATTAGTGTGTGTTAAATATTTGCCTGTTAGAATTGAATAGAGACACTCCGGCATTCACAGAGCTTTAAAATAAAAACTGGGAGGTACATTCAAGCGATTTTCATTTGATTTTGCATATTTATCTTTGCAAGTGCTATCAGTTTCAAGCGATTTTTGCTATTATTATTTCAGGAAATTTCATGTTATTTATGGAAATACGCTTTTTATGTGGAAGTGCTGCATTAGATGCTTTCACCCTAAGCCAAATATATACATCGAATTAACAACAGTACAATAAATACAATAATTTCTTTGTTTTTTAAATTTTTGTTTTATTATATGCTGTTAATTATATTTTGTATTTATTTTTATATAAAATTGTAAATGTTTATGCATCTGCAAATACTTATAATTGTGGATATAGTAATAACAAATTCAATTTGTATGTGAGCTATTATTTGCATAACAAAATACCTTCTTTTTATTAAATAATATCCGAATATTCGATACAAATTTATATTTATAGTTTCATTCAAAACTGATTGCAATGCAAAATCAAACTATATCGATTTCTAAGTGATTATCTTGTGTATTCATGATTTGCATATGTAGAATTACATTTTTAAATTGTGATAGTAAATAAATTTAAATGGACAGATTTAACAAAGTATAAATGTAATGTTTTGATAAGATTACTTATAAATCGATATGATTATCGCACACGACGAAGATAATTGTGATTACAAGAAATGTTGATTGTGGCAGGATCCAATTGGGGCGACCCCAGAATAGACCATAGAGATCCAAGGGATTTGCGGTCCGTGGATCCACGAGAGATGCGTGATCCTCGGGATCACCGCATGTCCTTGGATCCCCGGGATCATATGCGTGTGATGGATCCGATGGCGCGCGATCCGCGAATGACCGACATGCGTGGTGATCCACGTGGAATATCAGGACGATTACACGGTGCGAACGCGGACGCCATGTGGAGCCAGCCACCTGGACCGCCACATCATCAGATGGGTCACCAACATCCATCCGGGCCGCCAGCCAAGATGCTCAATCCGTCGAACATGAATCAGTGGGCCGGACAACCGCCGAAGGACATTATGCCCGGCAAACCGTCCGGTTGGGAGGAACCCTCGCCGCCGACGCAACGACGTAACGTGCCCAACTATGACGACGGGACTAGCCTCTGGGGGAATCCGGCTGCTAACCAGCGTGCAATGCCAGGTAGCAAGGTTTCACATTGGAAGGATATACCTGCACCGAACTTGGCTCGTGGAGGTACGCGTTCGCGAATCGTCCCGAAATCTAATTCTTCGTTTCATATTGTAAAGGAGTTATTGTAAAGGATTGCTGTAGCAGGGATAATTAATGTGCACAACGTGTATAATTTTTGTTGTAAAACTCTTTACTTAACGATACTAATCGCGCGCTCTCTCTCTATCGCAGGTATGCAATGTCCACCAGGCATGCCGCAGAACAGAATGCCAGGTCAACCTGGAATGAAACCGGATGTAAGCAATCCCATGTGGGGTCATCCCGGAGCTCCAGGCGGACGCAACGGAACATGGACAGACGGGCCGCATGATACTGCATCTTGGGACGATCCTAAGACACCGGCTACGTGGAACGAACCTCCGTTAAACCCAGGTTGGGGTGGTCCAACCGCGCACAAGCCAAAGCCTATGGGACCTGCCGGTAGCTGGACCGATTCTGATATGGATCCGACTCCTAGCTGGGCACATCCTGCGAAACCTACCTTAACAAAAGAAGTTATTTGGAACAGTCGCGAATTCCGTTACCTTTGCGATTTAGGTTTTAAGGTATGATATCTACGATCTTTTTTGTCTATATTTTACATGCAATTTTTATTTAATTGATATAATATTTAATAATTAATGTTAGACGATTAGAAATTTAATAATATTTAATTTGAGGCATAAAATGGTTTCTTAAGGCAATAAAATTAACTTTATTCTTAAAATTAATTTAAGAAACTTAGTTTCTTAAATTTTGTTGTTAATGAGCATCTTTTGAGATACTGTGTGTAGTACGTATATCGTAAAATATGTGATTGTTCTGTAATTTCAGAAAGAGGATGTCGAAGTAGCATTAAGAAATCGAGAAATGAACCGAGAAGAGGCATTGGAACTTCTCAATCAATTACGTCCTGTCGATCAGTGGCGACGTCACGAGACACACTCAGGTTACGATCCGACTCATCAAGCGACTACTACGCCAGCCTATCCTCGATTCAATCATGTCGGACAGCAGATGTCATTCCCTCCGGTAAGTTTGATCAACGTTGTTGAACAGCATTAAGTTTTATTAGAAAGACGTTTTTGCGATTTTGAAAAGCAATATTTTGAAAGATATACTGGTTTTATATATAATAAATTCTTGAGTATAATTCTTGATTAACAGTGTTGATTTTGAAAATGAAGCTGAGATATTTGGCAATAAACAAGCGCGTTGTGGTTTTCGTGAAAATTGCTTAACGAGTGATTGAGCGTGTGTACATTTCGTGAGCCTTTTATTATGAATTAACAATATCTAATAACTCAAAGTGATAAATTAAAGATATGAATTGCAACCGCTACACAATACAAATGCGGAATAGTTACTAACTCTGTTCTATGTGTATTCAATTTTCGTTGTGTTGTATTCGTATACTTTTATATAAGTTTAGTATCAGCTCTAATTAAAAACCGGAGAAATAAAATACTTAAATATGAGGAAAGAGATACAAATTCTTAGTTATGATTGATGATTGGGGAAGAACATTTTACGTAGTGTTTTATATATTAATTTGAAGATAGGAAGGTAGGCATGGGGTACAATTTGTATTTAACATAGGGTGGCGGAGTGCCCAGTGGGGCAACCAGTGGGGGCGTAAGTGGTTCTGTCACCAGTGCTAGTCTTCTCAAGCTACAGCAACAGCAACAGCAGCAGACAGCTGTTCCGCTGCAGCAACAGCAGCCAAGTACCAATACGCCACAACCCCCTTTCAACCAGGTGAATAAGTTCTCGTACAAAAAAAAATGTGCGATAATGTAAATGCCTGATTTTTTTTTTTATATATTATATCGCGTGAAAAGCCAATTGCGGTTTTTTGGCACGATTAAGAAAGTATTTCTATTTATTTTTTTAAATAAATTTTTTAAATAAAAAAGTGACATATTTCTTAAACATATAATTATTTAAAAATTTACTCACATGATGAATATACAATACAAGAAAAATTATTTTATATCAAGCGTATTTATGAATAAAATATATATCTTTATTACTAGATCACAAATTTGTAGAAAAATTTTAATCAGAAACTCTTTTTAGTTTCTTATATTAGTTTATATTTGTCTATCTGTTTAACCTGATTTTTGAATGCATGAATTTGCATTTGATGCAATATTTGTCTTGTGCATGTCGATCTTATTAACAATGCATTACTAACTTTCTACAGTTGAGATCATAGTTCTAATTCAAACACATTTAAATTATGATATTTTGCTTCTTTATAGGATATCTTATTTCATACAAGTGGTGTTAATATTTCACATAATTAAAAAGTTCCAGGATATGTTTTAATATGAATTGTCTTTGCGATATAAATATTATAAATCCAGTTGGTTCTAATTTGTTTAAACATAGATATATAGTTATATATTTATATAATTAATGTCAAAACATAACTCTATATTCAACTGCATATTAAGTTTTCGAATACAATATATATCAGACATATCATTGAATATCATTGAATAAAATAAAATTTTATTGAGATCATTGCTGCTATATATATGACTTATATTCGAGAATACGAGAAGTTTATATCTATTTTCTTTTTCCAATTGCATTAATAGAGATTTTATCATCGATGGTACTAATGATGATAACAAAATTAATTTTCAGGCATCTCGCGCATCACAGAATCAACCGAGTACACAGCAGTTGCGGATGCTCGTGCAACAAATTCAACTAGCTGTGCACGAAGGATACTTGAACCATCAGATCTTGAATCAACCGTTGGCGCCTCAAACTCTGATGTTACTGAATCAATTGCTACAGCAAATCAAAGTTTTGCAACAATTACACCAACAGCATGCTGTTCAAAATACAATGAAGGGAAACAATCAGTCAGCTCTGCAAATCAGTGTTCAAATCACGAAGACCAAGCAACAGATCACCAATTTGCAGAATCAGATCGCAGTGCAACAAGCAACGTATATGAAACAACAACAGCAACATCCGGCTCCTCCATCACAGGCATCGGAATATTACAAATCTTCCGTACACGATCCCATGTCAGCCCTGCAAAACAGTTTCAGCGATATATCGATGAACAAAGAGCCTCCGGTGGTATGTATTCAGTTTTACAAATAAAAGTTTAAAAGTATCCTGATGCATGTAACTATAATCTGCGTTTTCACTTTATTTCCGACAGAGTCAGCAACAATCAAGATTGAATCAATGGAAGCTGCCATCGCTAGATAAGGACGGCGATTTGGTATCGAACGAATTTTCACGTGCTCCCGGAACTACGAGTAAACCGCCCGCAACACCCGGTGGCTTGACACAGCCACATAGCAGTCCGAACATGAATCCCTTGCTAGGTCAAGGAGATGGCACATGGTCTACTCGACTCGGCGATAGCGGCTGGCCTGATCCGAGCAACAGCGATTCAACCGACGGAAAGGACTGGCAACCAGGTGGTGCTGCGTACACTGATCTCGTGCCAGAATTCGAACCAGGGAAACCATGGAAGGTAATCCATTTCCAATACCGTCAATCATTACTTACATTTGCCGTTTTATTAACTTTCCATTCGAATTCGAGAAAACAGTCTTCGTAAAAGTACACTTAGAAAAATTACCTGAAAAAATAATTTAGAAAAATAAAAATTATTGATACACATGTAATAAATTCAGCGTGTTAGTATTTAATGCTTATCCAGGTCCACCTATATTTCATTTCATTTTAGGGTTCCCAGATAAAAAGCATCGAGGATGATCCTAGCATCACTCCCGGCTCCGTCGTGCGTTCTCCATTATCCCTGGCTACCATCAAGGACACCGATACTATATTTTCATCGAGCAGCAAGGCATCACCACCACCACAAGCAGCTAATCCCGATACGTCGATACCAAGTCTAAGTAATTCTACATGGACATTCAATCCACCAGCTACCACACCTAGTGCATTTACCAGGTAATAATTTTATATTTATGATGTGCGTTATCATTATATTTCTACACTTGAATGTACATTTCTAAGAGAATCTCAATTCATTACAGCACTTCCAAAAATACATGGGGAGAATCTGCTCCTCCGCCTACCGCTGTGACTTCGGAACTCTGGGGTGCACCGATGAGCAAAGCGCGCGGTCCACCTCCTGGTTTGAGCAGTAAAGGAGCGACGAACACGAGCAATGGCTGGGGTGCAAGCTTAGGAAGTGTTAGTAGATCGTCTAGCTCATGGGGCCTCCAATCATCCACCGTCAGTAATTCGGGTTGGATGTCTACGTGGCTTCTGTTGAAGAATCTTACTCCACAAATCGACGGCTCTACTTTGAAAACACTGTGTATGCAACATGGACCGGTTCAAGACTTCCGTCTCTACCAGAATCATGGAATCGCTTTGACAAAATATTCCTCTCGCGACGAAGCAATGAAGGTAACGAAATTTATCGCAACTTTTTTCTTATAATTCTCGTTAATATTTGTTTTTTTTTTCGTTTGTTGATAAATTGTCTTTTGGATGACTGAAATATTTCACGAGATTATTAAATTTCTTTTCCAGGCTCAAGGAGCCCTAAACAATTGCGTCCTGGGTAACACAACGATATTCGCCGAGTCGCCCGCAGAAAGCGAGGTTGCTGCAATTCTGCAGCAACTCGGCCATGGTGGACAGCAGCAGGCCGGCGGTTCCGGAGGAGCCGGCTGGGGCCTTAGACCAACTAACAAAGCTGGGCCGCCGCCCGACACATGGGGAGGCAGCTCTAGTCAACTCTGGGGCGCTCCGCCCACCAGCAATTCCTTGTGGAGTAACGCGGGAATTGACAACAGCGATCAGCAACGAGCAACTCCCAGTTCTCTCAACTCGTACTTACCGGGAGATCTTTTGGGAGGTGAGTCGATGTAGAGAACGAGAGGCCATCCGCCCGAAATATCGTCAAATAATTGAGAAATTCACTTGCTTATTACGCAAGTCCAGATGTGCAGCTCGGCTGACGCAAAACCTTCGTGATCGAATGTGTATTACTTCCCTTCTGATCCCCCCGCCTCTCATTCCTTTAAGATTACACGATTACATTTTGTATATCTTAGTACGAGATTATTATGTATTCAGATCAGTGTCTTTGGCTAAAGCGGTCTTTGGCTACGAGACGTGTCTGCTTGCGTAGTTGTTGATGATAGGAGATGAGCATGTGAGAGGATGAGGGAATGGGAGGAGAAGCTTAGAGAGTGGTTGACAGAGTGATAGAAAGAGAGAGTGTGTGTGAGAGAAAGGTAGAGAGAATGAGACGGACGAGGTCTTCACGAAACGTCAATTATATTGCTAAGAAACGCAATTACTATAACGAGTTACTTAACAAAGAAAAAAAAAATTACTACCCTCGTATCCGCCTTGAGTAGAACACGCGTAAGCAAAAAAAAAAAAATCGCGGCATACAGCCAAATCGTGCGATAAATGTCTAATTTTACATGACAAACTACACTCTACACACACACAACACATTCACGAAGAACTACACTACTCGACAAGAAAGAAAGGTACTTTGCAAAATACGAATTTTGCGATCGCGTCATTACTCCGAGGAGATTTACGGATTGCGGAAGATCAAGTTGGACCAATTGCAACGGTCTCTTCATTAACATATTGGTGCGTGCATTGCGTGCGATTTTGCCACGCTGTATAACGACGAAGTGGCGTTCCAAGCGTTCTCGTCGTTCCAAGCCAATAAAGCATTTCTAATCTGAAGATAACGCGTGGAGGAAGATGAAGGGAAAAAAAAAGAGAATTATCCGCGCTCTCTGCCATTTTGCTAATGAATGGCGGGCGCTTTTCAATGAGAAGATTTATCGGCCGAGGGTCTCTGATCAGGTCAAAGAGTGTTCCATTTTTGCTGGACAGTTCTGAAGACTGCAGCGAGTATCAAACGTAGACTGTATCAATCTAATCAAAAGAAAGAAACCTTAAAAAAAAAAAACAAGCATTGACGTCGCTGCCTGGTGTTCTGCCCCGACCCCCACCCCCCACCGCACTCTCCGGACCCCCCCACGAATGTGGAAGAAACGAGGAATGCAGGGATATCAGATCAACTGGGCAACGACGCAACGATACCAAATGTTATCGCAATAACGTAAATTTTATTCTATATTAAATCTAGATGCCACCTGTCGTGCCAATGTCCAGTGTGTCTCTTTACCATTTATTAACGTAGAGTTTAAATGAAGAAAAAAAAAAGGGAGGAAGAAACATGCGAAGGAAGGAACGGGGGAAGAAAACGGTGAGATGAAGATTAGGAGGAAGACCGAGAGAAGTGCTGAGATAAAAGCTGCTAAATAAAAGCGGTTGAAAGCGGTTTACTACATTAAGGTAAACACGAAGACGAGTAATGAACACTACGTACTGATTACCCAGTACGTAGCATATTACGCTTCTCATTAGTGATGTTCGAATTCAAGGGGCATCACGATGATCCGCGTAAGATCGCAACGTGAGTAACGGCGATGTTACGAAACATGGCATTTAATAAATTACGGGCGCATCATGAAGCTCGGTCTAGAATGAATTAAATTAGTTTTTCTCTTCAACGTCAAAGGTACCTGACCTTACAGAAACGACGAACAAGCGATCCGTTATTTACTCATGCACAACAAGTTTCCTTTTTTACTTTCCGCTTCTCCGTGTCGGTGGAGTGTTTTGAGAAACGTTTCGCGATCAATCACTGGCGCAGCCGCGAACGACGTGTAAGAGACAGCTTTTTTTCCTTCGTGAACTGAAAGAAGAGTAGAAAAAAAGAGTAACAGAGAGAGAGAGAGAGAAATATATATATATTACATATGTAAGCGTATAAATGAAACTAGAAGGAAAAAAAGAAACAATCACAGGACGCTTCAGCGAGACGCGCGCAATAAAAGTGAACAATTACATATATATACACACACGCTGATCATACACGTTTGCCACGCATGACTGAATACCTTGCATGCTTGCAAATGTCAAACACGCCAAGCTAAGGAAACGTACATAGTAGCATTGGTCGACAATGATCCCGCCGCTTCCATGCGATCGGTCGATCCTCGCGGATACCGGACCACTTAAATCCTTTGGCGTATTAGTAAATCAAAAAAAAAAAAAA